GGGGCCAATTCTACTCCACGACAACGCTCGGTCCCACGTCGCACACCTCGACGGCTTTCTCAAGGAGAAATGCTTCAAAACCCAACATGATGCTGCCGCGGCATTCGACGATTTCATCGCCTCTAGATCTCCAGAATTCTACGCGAATGGGGTAAACTAACATGTTTCTCGTTAGCAAATGTGTGTCGATAGTAATGATTGTTATTTCGATTTATGAAGTTTTGTTTAAGCCGAGATATGTACATTTGAAGTTTGAGGCGCAAAAACGCAAGAACTTTCTTCACGACCTAATATTTCTTACTCGTTGCATTACTCCTGCTTCATTCTGCTACATTTCTTCGCACGCGCGCGACGTCCCTTTCTTCGCGAAGCGACCATTCCGATAAACTGCACCACACCCCCTCGTAGGCCATACCTATCAAATCTGCCTTACGAGTTATTCAAACAATTCCGACCGAACTTTTCTTCCAACTATGCACTCTAAGACGGTCAGGCAATTATGTCAAATCCGTTGTGTGAGAGGGGGATCATACAAAAGGGCTTGGTCATCGTTTTGGTATAGAATCATTCGATCAAATAACTGAGACGATTGCTAATTAAGTCGTGCCTAGCAGGCTGTTCCTACTTCGCTACTGCCTAAATCACTGCTACATTTTGCAATGCTTTTTATTTTACCTGATCTCTCTCTCTCCCTCAAGGAGCTCACTTTAAATCTCCTTTTTACAGGAAGAAAATTATTGTATCGGTCACTTCCGCTCCGACATCGACAACACTGAAGGACAAATGGGATGGCTCTGGCGAAGTGTTCGGACGACCAATAGACTCGCTTGCTTCGTCGACACTATTAAATAGGATCACTTCACAAACAGAGGTTCATATTTCTTCGTAGAACAACGATCACGCTGAGCCAGCTGGTTGGTCTAGCTGGAACTCTCACTAAAAACAGTGACTGCGAAGATCCTCATGGTCACTGTTTTTGGCAGGTCTGTTGAGAATAACGACATATCTGTTTAGAATCGGAGAGTTTCACAGTACGTTTCCCAATGTTGGATCCATTGTTGAATTTTTGCAGATCTGTCGTGCATTGGAGAACAACAACACAGTTTTCCGTTGGGTGGAAGGCAGCGGTGTTCCCGTCCTTGTCCGTAGCAACGAGTTCGTCGCTTATGACAATGAGAAGAGTGCAAAGATAAAGGTGAGATAACTGATATACAGATTGCCAGTAAGTTGAATGATCTATCGCATCGAGCTAGGTGTGATGCACTTAAATCGAAATGATCGTTTCGCGGTTGAAGCGACGTCGCGAAAGAAGGAATGTCGCTGAATGAAGCAGAAGCAGGGCGAAGTAAGGAAAACAGAAACAAAAAAGTGACAGTCCAAAAATAATAATCACATACAGATTGGGCTGTATGAAGATCACTAGAAGGGCAATAACGAGGCGCTTAGTGACAGTGAAAGTTACTTTTTGCATTCCGTATCACTGGAATTTCGATGAACGAACTCGGCACGATATCGTTTTGTGATGCCCCACCTCCACGGTTTGCTTTGTGAACGTCTTGTACAAGATTAGAACATCGATACTGTCGTAGACGTACAGAACAGCCACCTTATGACTTGTCATGATATGCCCCAAAACAGGTTGTCACATCAGTTCAGCAGTAATATGACTTGATAAGCAATCTGTGGAGAAAGTAGAAAAAATCGAAAACTTCGAACGGTCGTCCTCCACTGGCTGTTTTCTCTCTGGAACTTAGTATAAATATGGTTGGTTAGTATGGTTTGATTCCCAATCACATTACTCTGTGCATTGCTCTCGAAAATGCAAGACGCGGACGGGAGAGGGAAGGGATGAGAAGGGTAGTAGTAGAAAGGATGGGAAGGAAAAATTTTTAGAATTCATGATTTCTGTGGTTAGAAAAGCATTGACTCCTAATCGTTACATTTCCAGACTACCTGGAGCTCATTGAACAACCTGGGCGGTATGGCTATTCATGGTCTACCGCTTGACAACCCTAATGGAGAGTGCCCTGAACGACCTTTTCCTATACTGCAGAGCATCGTAGACACTCAGGTAAATCAGCTCTTCCGTAAACCTCGAACTTTGCTCGCTTTTTCAAAAAAGTAATCCATACATTAGGGAAAGAAATTGCGGATATATCTGGTAGGGACAGTACAGAGGTATTGGAAAGCAAATAGCATAAATTTGGGGCGAATTGTAGTCCAGGCCGCAGAAGATGGCGCTCACTTAAGTGAGCCTGTACGTCAGAATGTAGAATAAATAAGTCAGCATAGCAAGTCTGGAAGACAAATCTGTCTACTAGTACTTATTGAATTGGATCGCACTACTCCATCAATCGATTATCGACTTTCCGCTCTCAAATCTCACGCAAAGCGTTCCATCAGCATGATCGTTTACTACAACGAGATGAGAATTTGGTCTAAGATCTTAGAAGATAGCAATCTTCTTTCTCATTACGATTACGACTTTCCACCTCACTCAATCTTGGGATGTGTTTTCACACAAAATCAGACGCGAACTGGGCTTTATCCACTATGAAAACTTGATTTCTCCATGTTAGACCACGGCTAACCTTCCATACACCATGAGAAACCTTTTTTTCTTGGCATACTGAAGTAAAATTTGACATTTTGCAAAATAGTTGAAATAAGGCTGCAACGATTTTACGTGTACAATTGACCAATTCTTTCAAAATGAAGAGGTTAGTAAGTTGTTATGTGTTGTTGTTAAGAGTGGTAGCATCTTCCTGGAGGATGTGGTAGTTTTGAGTAGAACTTCTAATAAGGAAATGTACCTTCAACATGTACCTTTATTTATTTCATACATTCAAATGTGTGCCTAACTTAGAGGGCAGAAGTATTCACGATAAAAATGAAGTTGACTGGAAAGCAGTAAGAATAAGAACATAAACGCACAGAAGAGAACTGGAAAGTGAACATCTCTAACAGTTCGTTTTCTTTTTGCAGTTATTTTATTTTTTGCATTTCCTTTTTATCCTTTCTCTGTTTGTTTATACTCCTTCAATGGTGAGATATGGAATCGCTGGTGTATAACGCCTATGGTAAACTATGGGTGCGGCATTCACACGATACAATCTCTGTTCCCTTATTGTATTGACAATCACCTTCGAGTGTGAACAGAAAAAGAGAAAATCACAGAAAATACTGGAAATGCGAAAGATTGCTGGAACCATTGCCAACTTTCTGCCATTTTTCGCATTTCTAGAATTTTTTTCTTGAAACGTCACTCTTTTTTCAAAAAAAGGAATCTTGATGATGCTGAAAGAAAAACAAAATGCTGAGTCAATGTTCCTGGAGAAATACAGACACCTATAGTTTTCGGTTACAAAAAAATAGATGGAAAATCATATCAACTGACGGTCTTCGCTGCAAAGGTATGTAAGCATGAAAGGGTGTAGGTGTTCGTATACTTCGAGCCGTTGCAGTAAACGTGAAAACGAACGACCTGCCGTCCTTTTATAACCGAACTGGGGCAACAGGGTGTTTGTGAAGCGATTTGAGTCAATAATCGTAATGATATCCTATTCTGCACTCAGGTATGCTCGCTGTGTGCAGCAAAGGCGGAAAAATCGAACTGTTCGTCGTCCTCGTTCCAGACCGTGTGCAACTACCGTCTTCCGGAGCCAGATGAAGGTCAGGATGACTTTGATGATGTTTACCTTTTAGGTTTCCCAGTACTCAGAACAAGGGTGAACGGTGCAATTGTAGATAGTGGTCTTAATAAGGTGCTTCGGGACTCAGATTTTTGCACACAACTGTAAACTTCTACATATACGTTTGCGTCTGGAAAACAGAATAAATTGACCGAGCCGGCTGCTAGCCTATTCAGTTTTGTTTGCCAGAACGATGAAAAAAGTGGAAATAAATGTGGCGCTTGTTCAAGGCTGGAATACGCGGTTTGCTGGTGAAGGCTATTTACGGGTTGAGGGCTTGGTAACGGCACCAGATGGACTTACTGGCGCCATTGGACTGGCTGGCTGGTTCTAGTGTCGATGAAACCAGCTGAAGCTATGGAAATTCAATGACGCCAGTCTAGAACTCCAAAAAAGGCTTATTGAAATGATGACAGCGAGTAACTGGCACCGAAGCGCTGTCACTTTAGCGCTTTTCATTCCACTACCATTCGATTGCGATAACCAACTCGGCATTGAGGACCCTGCTGTGCACCCGTGGGAGATGCTTGGTTTTCATTTCAGCTGTACCATTCAATGGAAAACAGCAGGAAGAAAGCATGGTTGGCCATGCTTGAGTACGCTCCAACGCCTAGAAACCACAGATACTGACCACCTCCTCAATTTAGAACTGGAGATGGGCCTCCTTATGTTTTGGAAAGAAAGGAGACATCAAGACACCTAAGTATAATACTATCTTCATTGGCGGGCCACGTGGCATCACCATTTTCAGTTTTGAGCTGTACTACCCAAATTGTCTCATCCTTAGCTGGGAAGAGGAACTTCGGAATGGTCTGAAAGGAAAGGTTATCCTAGGTCATGAATCAGGAGCTCTGATGGAACTGCTTGCACAGACGAACAATTAGGGCAAACTGTTTCCAGAGAACTCGGAAGAGCTCTTCCATAATTATAGCTTTTACGCTCTCGAAGTTATATAGCAACGTGTAGCGCACTATTATATGCAGAGCTGGGAGATTGAGTCTCGGCTCGATATCTGCCCAGCCAACTGAGTTCGTCAGTAATCTGTCCATGGTCGGTTATTTGCTACCAGACTCGTATAGCACGATACGCCCACATAATTGCACACAGGCTGGCCACTTCGAATCATTGTGTAAACCACAACACATTCAAAACGCCACTATTTGATGATTATGCGACCAATCCGATTGGAAGGCGAATGCGGGGCGCATCCTAACACCAAATTTCGAGCATTCGGATTACGATAATCGGAAAAACAAGTACTATGCAACGGAAGAGAACCGTGCTCTTCAGCACAACGACTTGCTCCTGCAAATATTCCATTCGAGCGATGTTCTGGTGTGGTGATCGAGCATGCGATGATCGACGCAAACTCTTCAATTCATTTCGTTTCTAAGAAGCAGGAACAAGTCGTAAAGGAACTGGTATGCACCTAATGGTTTTCCAAAATCACCTTAACACTGTTAGCCAGATTTTCAGAAGAAATTCCGTTCCCGAGCGAAGAGTTTTGTGATCTCCCTCCGATGTTCAATGCAGGAAAAGGAGTTCGCACAGCTGATGCAAAGTGCAGGTAACTTTTACCAGTACATCAACAGGAAGCAGACGAATTCTTCGAAAAGAGCTGTTTAGCAAAACGTCTGAAGCTGGCAACATCCATACGGTCATTCGTCGATGGACTGTCGTTCAACGGAGTCGAACTGCGATGTGCAGACCTGCTCTCGAAGACCACGAAAATCCAATTCGCTCATTTTCTGCGCATCCTCAATAAAGAAATGAAAGCAAAAAAGAGTGACGGCTGTGGAAATACCGTGAGCTTACGGTTGGTTACGTCTATCGTAAAAGTAGACCGATTGCTCAGTGGCATAACGTGAAAAAACCTTTTCAGCCTTTCCGCGTGGCAATCAGACCTCCGTTCCATCTATGACATCGTAGTGCTGAACTCTCTGAATCAAATCGTCGTCGAGCCATTCACCGTCCCTCTCCTACCCGACACCGCTTTTGTCCACTCGCCTTTGTTCCCCATTAGCAATCACTCATCCATCACTTCTATTGTGAGGCTTACGACTTTTCTGTTAATCAGTTTATAGTGCCGATTCCCACACGACTTGCATGCCAATAGATCAACAGCTTCACCATCAAGCCCTGATTCTTATTTAGGATGTCATTATTCGGCGATGGGAAAGCTCGGGTCTGGATCGATCAAAGATTTTACTGCAAATCCCATCCTATGGTATGGAACAACTGCTGGTGAACAGATCAGACGTGGGGATTGGAAGGCCTACGGAGAAAGAATATGCCGTCATAGGTCAAGCAGAGGTGATTTTTCCAACTTGACAGTAGCGACGCACTTTAAACCTTGTGAAATGGGTAGACCGAGCCTCTCAGGGCACTTCACGGTGAAAAGGCTCCAGATTGATACTGGTTTCTAATTTTCATTGGTAAGACTGGCATTGACTGACTTTTTTTTCAGCTGTGTCAACGTCTTAAATATGCGGGAACGGTTCGAGAAACTCACTGGGATTCAATGAGCGTAAACGCTTGGACGACTGGAGGAAGATGGATCAGCATTGATGACCAGCAAACTGTCAAATACAAGGTGGGGACTTGCTCAGGTGAAACCATCATATTCCACTGAACGGAAATTGTGATATTGAACATCCAAGCTGCAAATAACAACTTCTGTAAACTGGGTTAATTCTGAAAGACTTTGGGACCATCGTGGGCCGCAGTGGTTTCGATTCGAGGCTGAAATGGGAGAGAACCGAGAGTAGCCTCTTTCATTCCCTCCTGAAAAGAGCAGCAAATGTAACAATTAAGTTTGTAGTTTGCTTTAGACGTAAGCAACAAATATCTCATATTGAAGCTGCTCAACAAAACAATCGATATTTGGTAGGAAAAAATACTTAATCATAACGAGTTCGAATTCAGATGCGATATGCCCTACGAGAAGGACTTGCCGGTGTTGGCCTGATGTCGTTAAACGAAGATGATCACATGGGTACTTGTGGATCCGGTGCTTTCCCAATATTACGATCGATTGCTGCAAAATGTCATTAATCCTCAGAAAAATAAAAATTTGAAATTCGAGCAGCGATTTTCCACAACTTTGTTTGTTTCCCTAAAAAGGAGCCATTGCCATATTCGGAGAGCGCAAAATATTATGATGCCATCCAGGAATGTAGCAGGAATTGTTTTGAAAGAGACTCTCTTCAAAAACTTTATTTAAAGCTAAGCCAACTGACTAACAAAACAAGAACCGGGAAAATGATACGAAATGTTCGCAACGCAAGAGATCCAATTCCTCTACAACCAGTGTTGAAGCGAAAAGCAGTGAAACAAAGAACGAAGCTTAGAGCTAAAAACTTTCGGTCAAATAAACAACTGTGAGTTTGTGAGGCACATACGTGTAGCCACAAAAGGACTGGCATCAATTGTCGAGTATTTCACTATGTGCTGGAGAAGCCGGCTCCGCGGAGCTGCCAAAGAGACAATAACTGCTCTGTTCCTCCGTCTGTACATCATTCACCGGGTTATCACGGTTTTCTGGAAAATGAAGTGAGTAGCGCATATCAGACTCAATAGAATTTTTAAGCTTGCCCTGCCCTTATAACGACTGCCGAAAAAATACCATTAAACTCATGACAGCAGTGATTTTCTATACCCTAACAGCCCAGTGAAAAACAGCTCATCCGTCCCAGGCACTACCTCAAATACTGTCCGCTATCTGGTTCATACTTCCCCGCTTCGTACCGTTTTGTTCGAATCCTACATTACGCTTCAGACGAATGCACTGTAGATTCGCGGCAAAGATAGAGAGCTCAGAATGCCACATAGCACTCACTTCGAAAAGGTGTGGGACATTAGTCACGATTGGCATTACTTCGCGCCGAGGTGCGAAGTGATCTCGACCGTAATTAACCTCATCTTAATTACGCGTCTCCCCTCGATCGTAACTTGCCTCATCTTACTTACCAGAGTGACGGCGAATGACGAGAATGGTGAGAAAATGAAACTTCAGGAAAATTAGTATTTCATCGTAAAATCTTTATGGTCTTTGGTTTGAAGAGTTTTATTACCATGCAAGTTGATAAAAATCCAATAAAATGTAAAAAAGCCAAACTTTCCCAACAGAAGCATCTCAAAAATAATATTTAAACAACTCAGATGGCCTTGTTCGTTACGAATTGGACATCTTTATGCAAGACACCCCAATTTGGATGCGATTTGCTCCTCTCCGATGAAGTTCGTCGAAGAGGTTGGGAAGGTGCAGATTAGCGTAGTACATGAGTTGCGGTGCGGGTTGGAGCGGTTGGATAGGAGCAGAAGTACTATAGAGCGAAGGCTAAGGTTTAAGCAAGGCTTTTTTCTATAGTCATCACTTACCCACCAGGCTAAATAGTAGCTGATGAATAGTCTCTTCAATGTGCCGAATTTGGCCGGGAGTGTTGTGAAATTCCGTGAGAAGTGTGAAATGGCTTAAGTGATCAGCGGGAGGGCGTTCAACGACCTTTCAAAGACAAGATACCCAAATATCAAACAACTACGTCGTTTCTATGAATGTTGTTTGATATCACAGATGAGTGGAAACTCAAAAAAATGAATGTTTTTTTTTCATCACACACGAATTTCATTTTTATGACCATTCATTTTTCTGTTCTACAGGGTAATAAAACTCTTTAAATCAAAGACCATGCAAATTTTACGTTGAAAAACCAATCTTATTGAAGTTTCATTTTCTCATCATTCTCATCATTCGCCATCACTCTAATAAGTGAGATAAGGTCAGTAGCGATCGAGGGGAGGCGCGTAACTGAGATGAGGTTAGTTACGATTGAGGTCAATTCGCACCTCGACGCGAAATAATGTCAGTCGTGGCTAACGTCGCACACCCACTTCGAAAGGCAATGAAACGGAAACTCTGCCCCAAATCAGTGAAAGAAGCACAACATAGAAGGTAAACTGGGAGGAGCAGTACGAGTTTCCTTCGGGTTTTCATAAACACAGTATGCAAAAGCGCACTGCAAAAGCTTGAAAGGAATACAATTTACCTTGCAATTGAAGCACTTTTCGTCTTTTGGCATTTTCCTTCTTCCGTTGACGATTCCTTTTCGCTCCGATTTTCGACTTATCCTCACCCTGGAAGTATGAGAATAGGCCTCTTGAAACACAGCTATTTCGGACGATGTGTATGAGATGTCTTTTTACTGCCTGACTCCAAAAAAGAGTATGAATTTTGAACCTATGACACTCTAATATTCAAGTCACATTAAGTTTTCGTGGCGCTGAAAGCAAATCAAATAATTCGAAAGTACATTTTGCTTCTGGTCAGCCTACATATTTCTCAACCATAAAGACAGAACAATTAAATGAAGCTGAAAGTACTTTTCGGTGGCACAGTATTTTGCAGTATCAAAATGCTAGGATTGACAACTGTAACCGGGTCCACAGTCGAAATGAAATGACAGATTTTGTAGCCAGTTTCTGCTCTGACACTTTTGAATGGTTCCGCTCCTCTTTTGAATGGTTTTGAATAACTTACCAATCGCATGGAGCCCTCGGGCAAAGGCGTACGGGCTGTGAAATGAAGTTTGCTGTTCGGAGCCACATAACAACCGGGAGCACGTTTCTGCACAACCTGGAAAATCACATAATTCTCTGACTAAGACATACACGAACCACTTTCACCTCATGATTCACCAATAGAAGTTGATTTCTTCGAGAAAGAAAACACGCATAATTTGCTATAAGAATCATCTTCATTTGGAAATTGCAGACTGCCTCCAACTATTGAAAAAGCATCCAGTTTATTTTTTCGGAAAAGCTCTTATTCCTAACTCTCGTGCACTTCACCACACTTTTGCCTTCACCGACCCTCAACTCAAACCACTTTCTAGTTAGTGCCAGGCCAGGAAGACTACACAATCACTCAACATAAAAAGCATTGAACCTCGAAATTCGAGGCAGAAAGGAAAATCTAGCAGCCCCAAGAATGAAATGAAGGGGCGTTACCAAAAAGGATCTCGCCGAAAACAGAAGAGTGAAAGCAAAAGTGCTGTAGACATGTGGGAATGGCGATCACCATAGTAGACTTTGCGAGAAGACGAGAAACCACTTCTATGTCCACACTCTTCCTTTAGATTTCAAATGTCGACAAAGGCATAAGTTCTAGAGGGGAGGGGGGGGGGGGGGGGGGGGNGCAGAAAGGAAAATCTAGCAGCCCCAAGAATGAAATGAAGGGGCGTTACCAAAAAGGATCTCGCCGAAAGTGAAAGCAAAAGTGCTGTAGACATGTGGGAATGGCGATCACCATAGTAGACTTTGCGAGAAGACGAGAAACCACTTCTATGTCCACACTCTTCGGGGTCAAGCGAAATGAATACATTATACACCATTGATCCACCCGCACAAGCTCACTTCTTAATTATTTTTTAATTTTTTCCAAACATCTCAATATTACTGATCTACATACAAATTGATAGACATATACATGAAATCGAACCTGCCATTGCAAAGGTATAACCGCTTCGAGTCCATTAAAGACATCGCGAATGCGCACAGAAGGTTGAGCAACGAGGACCGTCTCTTTTTCACAATCCAAAACATCACTCCTAGAAAATTACGTCACTGATGATCACGAAAGGGTACAGGCGTGGGCATAAGGTTGAGAGCTGCTGCTCAAGCGTCTTCGCGGAAAACATTAGGTCTGCCTGTATCCAAAGAACTTACTAATGGACCCTGTGTTTCTTGGATGCTGTGGAACAATAGTATTTGTATCATTTTATCGCTTATCGAGCAAGTTCATATTCTCCGTTAAAAGAGTTATCAGAAACTCGACAGTAAAAAACACTACATCAGCCGAACTGATGTATCGAAAATCCAATCCAAACATTTTTCTCTTCCTACTTGATTGAGGAACTGGAAGGTGTCCCTGTACCTCGAGAAGTTCAAGAGTAAAAACTCACGAATTCACACTTTCGTCCAATTGAGGTAGAATCTTGACGACACCATCGTGCCTATTAACAAGCATATAGTCACCATGGGAGAGGTGGCTGATTTCTTCTAGAAGTCGAGCGAAACGGGAAGTGTAGGCAGATACCCTGAACAAAATTTTTCCACTCTCAACTATCATAGGAACCAGAAACCACATAAACATTATACATCATTTTCGCATCTTGTCTATGAGTAGGTCCAGTCCATTGCTGTTCACTTCCACTGGCATCTTCGAAACTAAATGACTGCCTTTATACATGCCCAAGTAGATGAAACAAAGGAAAAAATCGGAACCTTTGGGATATCCAGTGCTGAATCTGCAGCAAATGTTTTCCCCTGAAATCGCACTTTCAAACAACTGTACCGCTCTCCATCAAAAAGTGCGGCATGGCGCCAATCTTCTTTATTCAAACCAAATTGAAGATTATTCGAAAAGCGAAAAAGCTTGCTATCTCGTGTACTAACCCTGCCTCAGAAACTGTACCCAAAAAGTCCACTACCCGAAGACTTGTCCGATCTTACAGGAAATACAACTTATTCTTACATGTAATGGGTCCTGAAGAGAGCATGATTAGCAGACTGCTTGAAAATCTCTTTGCAATAATTCCAGCCAGATTCTGCGTCCAGCAAGTGCTAAAGTATGAAATATTACGTTTTAGGTGGAAGATTGTACTTCGTCTGGATTATTAATAACAGTGATCATCGAAACACACCATTGCTCCAGCATTCGGAACGTATTCAACTTTGGGTTGAAATGATAACGCCATGGATTTTAAGGATTGATGCCCTTCTGAGCACAGCGGTGCAGCACGAGAGCGCACTAGAATGTTTGATCCAATAATGGAGAACACGGAGTACGTTTTACCTGGAAAACTCACGATTAGCACGTCTAATCGAAAATGCAAAAATATATTTAGAAAAAGTGATGCTCAGTAATATTTTTACTATACATAACGTGCTCGCGTCTGTTCGTTTGTGTGTCGCGAAGTTCGGTATATTCTGAGGAACCGCCAGGACAAGTTTGGAAAAGTTTGGATGGGGGAAATGGCAAGATGATTAAAGCACGTGTAAACTCTTCATACTTGAGAGCAAGTTATGCGCCTTATTGGGGAGTGCAAAGGGCACAATTTCCTAACTGCGAAGCGACCTCCCCGAAGGCTGAACTTTCCACATTAATCAGTAATCGAATCCATCGTAACCTTGAGGTCACATTGATGGGGGGCGCAGCCCAAATCAAAAAATATTTAGTTTTTCCATGAGGTTCTTTGCTGTGATTCACGCGTTAGTCGGTATAGCCAAATTGGCGCTTACAAAAGCAAGTCAAGAGATATTGAACAAAACTCATATAATAAGAACATCAGAAAAAATACCTACCATTCTCTGAGAAACTGACGGCATTCGATGTTCCAGGCTGACTTGACAACGCCTCAAGGGATGGAAGTATGGAATCGAGAGGATCGCAGAAATCACTCAAATTGAATGATCAATCAAAAACTTTTAATGTGATTTCTCGAAGTAGCTCATTTCACAAACCTTTGCTTCACATCTGAGCCAGCCTTGATCTTCTTCATGGATGGCTCACTGGAGTCAGCCTTTACTTCAGCCACCATGCTCTTTTTGGAAACATAGGAAGCCTTTAGTAAATATTTTATGAACTGTCTTTGAATGGCCACACGTTGAACTGCCCCAAGAATGCGCGGTTTACCAAGAACAGCGATATTCGTTGTTTTTCCTTAAAAAATATTGAAAATACGTTGCGCTGAGATTAAAGCTCGATTAAAACTTTGTACATTACTATATTTGTACCCAACATTCTGAGTTCAACAACAAAAAGGATGCATTCGGAAGGATGTCACCTTGAACTACTTTCTCGATGACACGAATAGGCACAGCATAGGAATGTTCATGCCCAGCAAAAGGATCGCTCATTAAATGGCATGCAGTCGTGGCATCCATAGCTATACGAACACCATTCTCGATGCACATTTTTGTCACAGACTGAAAAAGGCACATCTTCTGACAGAGTTACGACATAAGCTTGTAGTTAAAATTTCACATCGAACTCATCAAGCAGTCGATTTGCATCAGACGCTTCTGGAGGGTAGTCATTATACAATCTTGATGTTTCCAGCATACAACGATTGACGAGACTTGGAAGCTGAAGAACCGAATCATTATTAGTCCTAATTCGGAACAGAACAAGCCTCCCCTTCCCCAATAACAACAATAAAAATGGGCAGACAAGTCAGAGAGTAGATTGCCTCATGAGCATCTATTGGTTCTACCTGTATTCTATCGTGACGACCCTTCAGGATGGTTGTGACAAGTCTTGGAAAGCTGTCTTTACCCAACGGAACACTCTGAAGTTTCCAGTCGATTGAACAGACAGGTGTGGAGAAATCAAATTTCTGTGGAAAGTTCTTGTCGGACCAACGCTTTCTCCATCGCTTCTGAAACCCTGGTTTAGGGAAGCTATGCACCTGATGGAAATATGGGAAAAAATCCGAAAGAAAAATGAAAAAAAAAACGAACCAAAATAAAACCATAGGCTAAGTCGTGCACAAACGACAATGGATGAGTCGTAAGAATAGATCCTTCGCTTTCTAGCTCGCTCTCTATCGAATCCACAATGAGGGACTCCATAAAACTTCGCTCAGGATCCGCTCTCTTTTGAAATTCCTACAAGAGAGAATCCAGTACAAGAATTTTATGTGGATGAATGAAAGCGACGCCCTATACTACGACACAATCTCCTTGTGCATAGCATGTTGATCCAAATGGTAGAAACACATTCAAGGTTCCACCCGTAGGGAGATCAGGGGAATGAAGTAAAAATTGTAAACACAAGACAACATACCTTGAACTCTTTCAAATTCTGCATGAATCTAAACGAACCCGAATTCATCACATTCTGGCAAATCGCTAGAAAACGATTCTGTTCGTTTTGATTGAGTCCCTGAAATTCAATAAATATTAACAGCTGAGATGAGACATCATAAGGTGTATAATACTGACAGAAAGAACTCCTCGAGGAAACAAGGATTGTACATTGGGACACCATGGGATACGTTCTGGAGGCTGAACGAGAAAAGAGATACTTCACAAAAAGAAAAAAAAAACAAAAAAGCATGGAGAGTAAAAGGAATTCCGAGCAGGTTACATTGACTCTGGTAGTTTTCTGGTCATTCTCCTTCCTAGACGGCCCATCTTTTTCAGCTTTTGCTCGCTGACGCAATTTGATCATAAACTCATGCGCTTGTGCTCTGAAACGACAAAGTGAGCAAAGAACGTACCGGATGACAACGTTCAGTGATACTTCACCGCCGACATACTTGCCCAGCTTCTTCAGTTTCACGATTTCGTATATCAAGTGACTGTCCGAAAGCTCAAATGAACGCTTATACAAGTGTGCATCTATTTCCTCATCCGACAAAATCATCTTCACTTTCTGAAAAGGAAAACAGTTGCCGCGTCCTAGTGTAAGAACACATGGCTGATCCAACTAAAACAGTCACTAATGGAAAACAAATGGAAAGCTAACTACCTGTTTTTTGTTCTTCGGAGGTTTCTTCGGCTTTTCAACTTTTGCTGTTTCCTCTTCCATCGGTTTCTCCTTCTGAGCTTCATCATGCGCTTCAGGAGCTAAACAGGTTTCTGAAGCATAACGCTGAGAGCCTATTAGTACAGGCGGAGCAAAATGATAGGACCCATATTGAAACAGAATTTCAGCTGCCATAAATCAAGGCCTATTGCAATCGACCTTACCGGGACGACTCTTACAAGCAACTCATGTAGAGAAGTTGCCCAAGCGTTCCCCATGATTTCACGTGGATCACGTGGAATATCTACTCTCATACCAGCACAAAATAATAGAACAGGCTCCAAGCAATCAAAAAATATGCATATGCAGGAATTGTTAGTTACGGTAAATAGCTAATCATTGTTTAACTGTAGTAGAACGACCCAAATGAGAATGCAACTTACTGTGCACATTGTGCCGCTCTCGAAAACATCATACGTAATTCGAAATGGGAAGACAGGGGAGTGAAGGATGACGGCCCTACTTAAATCACCTCCGCCTTGCAAGAGACATCGTGCTTACAACACCAAAAAAGACATCGTATTTATAACACCGGACATCGAGCGGTTCGAATTTGAAGCTGATCGAGTCTGACAGCGCTTTTGGAAAGAGGGGCTTAGGACTGAAATTATCGAAAACGATGAGAGACGGATCTATGAGAAACGGATTGGTATCTGATGCTCCCTTGACGCTAAAAGGAACGAATATCACCGAATGCTCTCACTAAGTGCATCTGGGTCTAGAAGTCAATATGAAGAACAACGTAGCACCGGAGCTGAGCAGAAGGAAACGCGCGGTGTAGGGGGCGTTTAAGAACATCAGGAGTGTGAAGAACAAGGAACATCCAGCTCAGCGCTCACCTTTTCGACACTGCGGTCCTTCCTGCTTTGACATACGGCTTGAACTCTACGGAAGCAGGATGAGCATGCAGACTGCGTCATTCAACGCGCTGTGGAAAGGATGGTGCTTGGAATTTCCCTTTTTAAGCAAGTGCAGAAGGAAACCCGGAGTTCCTTTCTTCGTCAACGAACGAAGAACAGTGATGCCATTGCGTATGCCAAGGAATCGAAGAACAGGTGGGCCGGACACATTATGCGATATCGTGCTGACCGTTGAACCAGGGCGGTTATTGAGTAGATTTCTTGGGACGTCGATCGAATGCCGGAGCCGCAAGGGCGATGGTTAGACTTCTTCACGAAAGCTTTGAACTGAAGGGAAACTATGCCTACAGTCTCTCGAGCGAGCACGATTCACTGGACCCTCTGGCTCGCGATAGGTACGAATGTAGACGCTCGAGCTCGCTCGTCCGCTTTGCATTTTGTATGAACGACCCGACCAGTTCTGTGAAATTTGTCGGAGTTCAGCAGTAGTATGCGCGTTATGTTCTGCAGTTGAACCAACTCAATAGATATAGTGATTCTATTTGTTTCAACATCCGAGTTCGACGAACCCTCAACAACGAACCATCCTTGAAGCTTTCTCATTCTTCTAGGTCCTTTCTCAGTAGGGGCGTCATGCAACGACGTTACCCGAGAATAGCTGAGTCTCTCTCGATGGAGCAACCATATCAATGCAGAGGCTCGTCTGATACTAATAGATCCTTCATAAACTATCACTGGAATGTTTACGAGGCAAGGTAAGTCAAAAATTCCAGGGGTGAGCAAAGTTTCCAGGGGTGGGTTTTATTTCACACCGAACTTATATTCAACAATTTCATGCAAGGTTACGGGCAGTACTGCGGATAACTTGGTCCCCTGAGTGATGGAAAGAGGCAGTGCTAAAGTGTTCTAAACTGGTATCAAAACAGTACATGCAACGTAAAAAAGAGTAAAGGTAAGGAACGGTGTGGCGTCGCTCCAGTGGGCGGCAATTTTAAACGAATTTTTTCTCGATCCCACCGCAACTGGAAGGTAGAAGAAATTGTACAGAGGTTCGAAAGGTGTTCTAAACAAGACTCAACTATATATTGCTCCGCCTTCGATGGGTGGAGCGTGCTCCCAGCCAGGGATACTTTCTCCAGAACTTCAGAACCCAGTTCAAAATGTTTTAAAATACAAAAAAAATAATTTGAGGCCACTGAAGGAACAGTGGCTAAAACTTTGTAAGGGATGAAGTGTGTGCAGAGGTGGGCGAGGCTAGATTCACAATTCATAACACTCTTATAAGTTCTCCGACGGCACACGGCCCGTATTAACGTGCCTTAGCGAAACTGGAAGTGGCGGCACACAGTTAACGTTACAGCGTTCGTGAAATTGACTGCCTTCCCACCAATAAAACACCTCGATGAGAATGAACATCAGATAACGACATGAAAAAAAGATTTCACTCACTAATCCATGGGGGCGGTCCATTCTCGTACAGCAGTTCTTTACCACCAAATTGTTCTTTTGCGCGTTTCATTACACATTGAAAACAAAACTGTTGCACATGACTGGCCGCAGCTAAAAGCATACAGTAGGCTCTAGAAAAAGTACATTGCAATAGTACAAATGGTATTTCTCTTGAAGCCATTCGAACCTCTTTAGGAAAGCTAAATTCGTGATTAGAACAAAATAACTCACCAACGGCATCCAATTTCTCTAGCAGCTCCATCATTATTGGACACATTTCAGCCTTGCCGGGTGCCATCCCTAGGTGTCCAAACGGCGCTGGAATATCTTTCATCTGAGTAACAGATACTGATTTCATGCCATTTGACTTTTTCTTATAGCCAAAGTTCTCACCTTGTGACGCCCAGCAGCTCTATGAAACAAGGATTCGCTTCCAGAAAGTTGATCTAAAATATGAAAAGTCTTGTTCTGCCATAAAAATTGGCAAATTGCTGGATGGTACACACGGGAAGACTGACATCATTCAAAATGGGAGGGAAGAATGGGAAGGGAAACAAATTACGCGCCAAATCCGTTTCCCGCTCAATTCCAACCTGTCAATTCCTGTCCATTTGGGTCGCTGCTCAATTGTACATTTTCCCTTATCATAGGTATGCATTTCATCTCCGAATACTCCAACATGACGCGAAGTGTGAACACTCCCTTACCAATAGTGGCTACACCGAGCGCAGGCTGTGAATCTTGCACGATCAAAAGATAAACCTTAGGAAAATATGAGCGAGGAAGAGGAAAAGAAAGAGAGCGGAGATATTTCACATCATTTCTCCCAAAAGAAGAAGAGATCATACGTATTGGGTGTTTCAAGAACGAGATGTGCGAGCTTGTCCAATCGAGTCTTGATTGACTTCCGATTTGTGTTAACAACATTTTTTTGGGCTCAAGAGCCACAAAATAAGAATGGTGCAAAAGGATTAAAAAATTTCACAAAATAGGAAGCTCAAGAAGTGAACACATGGGGCGCATTTATAGTATCTGCGTTTTAACGCCGACTAGGGCGTCAGAACGCAGGTATGAACGTTCCGACGCGAACGTCGGTGTTCATTCGGCGTTTGTACGCGCTTACACTGATCTCAATCCTACAACTTTTGAAAAGATATCGAGGAAGAAATTCTCATTCTAAAAATATTAAGAAGGAATTCAAAATTCAATCAAGGAAGATGAACTTCAACTTCAAGGAATTTGTGAACTTACAACGACGCAGGTGCAGACAAATAAAACAAGAAAACTTCTAATATCTCCAGTGCAATAAGATTCGAACCAAGATGAAGAAGCCAGAAATTGGAAATTCGAAAAAATCCAACCTACGACAAAGTTGCTCCGGCAAACAAGTTTCGAATTTCGCGCCCCTGCATGTCTGTCGGGCAGAGTAAGACGACGAGGGTTTCCGCCGTTCGTTGTGCTTGCCGACTTTTCATTTTTGGGCCTAAAGCAGCTCAACCATGGTGAGTAAGTTGTTTCAAATCCGTCTTGTTTTTGTTTTTCGCTTCGATTTCGGTGTGCTTCCTGTGTGGGGATGGTGTCATTCAGTGCCTCCTTTCTTTGTGGCCAATTCTTTGCAGAACATGAGTTTTTCTAGAAAAGTATGGCTGTTTGCAGAACTGCATAAACATGAAAATTGTGACTTTTTATGGGTCATAGTTTGTGAAATTGTAGTGTGAGCTGTTTAAGTATTGTTTTCAGCCTTCGAAGAAGGTTATTAAAAAGAAGGTTGCCGCTCCACCAGCACAGCTACGTGCAGCAGCGGTTCAGAAGGAGGTGAAGAACCCTCTCTTCGAAAAACGAACAAGAAACTTCAATATTGGTTAGTCGATTCAAGTTTTGCGGTCTTTCTCATCACGTTATGCTGCAGAGTAATTTCATATCCTATACGTGCTTGCAACTGTTTTTCTGTAATTCCTTTGAAATTGATATAGCCTGAATAGTTCTGAACATTCTCTTCTACTGCGCTACAAGCTTCTTTTACCAATAAACAGAGTCAAAGATATCAGTGCGCGAAATGATATCACAGGTGGGAAGTGCTTTTGAAGGTTTCGAACTGTCTGCAAATGAAATATGTAGCGTTAGGTTTGTGAGGAGAATGTTTCCGTCGTAGAAATTTCTCCACATCGTATAGGAAATTTGCACCTACCTAAGGTTGCCCCCTTTAAAACATTGCCGACGCATCGAGCTTATATCAGGAACGGAAAATTGGCGAGCCCATTGCGCTGTAGGTAATAACCGAAATGCAAGCCACACATCCTCGTTTAGCCACACATCTTCTTGATTTACCCTGCCTTCGACACCCACTCTAAATCCTACTCATTTACGTGCACACATAGCATGGGCAGTGACGTGTGGAAGGCCAGCTAATATGCTCCCCATGAAACTTTCGAAACACTAACCTTACATTTCCTCGAGCCCAAACCTGCTTCGATCCCTTTTGTGGGGGTTGACTCTACCTTGTTAGTTCTCAACTCAGCATCCACTCCCACCTTTGTTAGTTCTCACCTTAGCACCCACTCCTACCTTGGTTTTATGAATCTGCTGAAGCAGTCAAATCCAAAACTAGACATGGGTGTTGCCGTCAGACAAAACTAGTTCATTTAAACTACTCTGGGGATTCATAGATAACAAGTAGTTTCGTCCTGGAGCTTGTGAGCTGGGCTTCCTAAATTTGCTCAATGTTCTATGCGTGTCATTCAGCGAAATTTTGATTTGAATTTTTCGTCCCCTCTAGTGCTTAAATATTGTTTCGCGGTACTTTGCCCTGAGATGGGTAGGGTTGAGGGTCGCACCTATTTGTGATCGGTATTGAGCAAAGCATAGGTGTGGGACTATTGTGGACTCTTGAGCAGCATAATACCTGTACCTTTTTTTCTGATTAAAGTTGCTGCTTTGTCAACTTTAGCAGAAGCTAGAGGCTAAAGATAGTTTGGATTAATCCCAAAAAAATCACGCTTTTGAGTGATCCAGCTCAAATATAGGCTTGATGTTCGTGGATCAGGCAGCTAACACCTTTATTTCAATGCCTCTATTAGTTTTTATCAGCTAAACTAACATATTTCTTTATGTTATAATTCCGAAATTATTTCGTTGCGATATGTGAAAGGCCAGGAGCTGTCTTGTGAACATGCTTATCGCTTCACTGTCTTCATTCTGCTTATCCCTTTCCCTAACACTTACGTCTGAGGTAGGTGATGTTAGAAAGTTGTTTTGCCATATAACATACTCCACAATCTTCGAATAGTCCGGTTTAACTTAGAAATTTTTACCAACTGAAAATAGATGAGCATGTATTGAGATTATGATAATNTGGAATAAAAGTCAAAATATGGCTGTTCCCAAACCAATGTGACTTATTTTGAATGGGAGAAATAGTCGAAGCTAGCATTGTAAATTCAGGCTATGAAAATTCTCTTTAAATCTTCGACAGATTGTCAGAAAAGCGACTTCATGCGAAATTGTCTTCTTTCAACCTTGGTATAGACTTTAAGAAAATGTAATGAAATCGGTTTCCAAAAACTTCCAAAATGTCTTTTCTTCAAAAGTGGTAGAGTCAAGGGACGAGATTTGTCATGTGTGTCGGTGCAAGTGCTCAGTAGTTCTTGATGGGAAATTCAGAGATAATTTCAGAAAGGGAGAAGTACCTAATGATGTTTATGTAAAAAAATTTTTCCAACGATCCAGTAGCACCGTTGAGTTGGAAACCATCATGTAAGGTAGTATAAGATCATGGTCTCCTTAGTTTTTTCGATTCACAGGTTCTGTAATTATTAGCTATCTACAATCTATGGGATGCAACAATGTAACGTGATGGAAAACCCATTCTCGTTGTTGCTTCTGTTCTCATATGGAAGAGTAGAAGGACTTTGTCTTCATTTTCACATTTTTAAACTTTGGGACGTTTCAGCCGAGAATTCGTCCATTGTAATTGTGCTGGTTGTTTTGTTTTGAAAATGTCTGCTTAAATGTTTTTATGGCAAAAAATTAAGTTAATCAGTTGATAATGATTTTCATTTAAATTCGCAAACTATTGTGAACTGTGATTGGGTAGTTGTTTATCTTCGTACATTCGCACAGAATAGGAGTACGTTAAGATATGATCTTACAGGTTGCGATATTCAACCTAAACGTGATGTTACTCGATTCGTAAAGTGGCCAAAGTACATCCGCCTGCAACGCCAAAGGGCTGTGCTCCAGAGACGTCTGAAGATCCCTCCACCAGTGAACCAATTTAGGACGGCGGTAGACAAGCAGACATGTAGGTTCCTCACTTGATATTGGCCGGCGATCTTTCCCCAAAACAAGTTGTTTCAGCTTCTCAACTATTCAACCTTCTCAACAAGTATCGTCCCGAATCTAAGGACCAGAAGAGGGAGCGTTTGCGCAAGCGTGCTGAAGCTCGTGCTGCTGGCAAAACTGAGGAAATCACTAAGCGCCCCCCAGTTGTTCGCCACGGTGTCAATACCATTACTCGCCTAGTCGAGACGCGCAAGGTTAGTCATGATGTCCGGTTACATCTTTTGAGCCGCCGTAGTTAATTTCTTTTTAAAATGATGTAGTTCTGCTGTTCTTGCAGGCGCAGCTTGTTCTGGTAGCTCATGATGTTGATCCTATCGAGATCGTGTTGTTCCTGCCAGCCCTGTGTCGTAAGTTCAACGTACCATATGCCATTGTCAAGGGAAAAGCTGCACTAGGAACTGTAGTTAGAAGAAAGACCACCTCAGCACTTGCCATCGTCGATGTAAACCCGTACGTCATTGATATGAAATCTTGTTGCTGTCGCTGATACAATCATTCATGAGCAACTTTTTAGTGAAGATCGATCTGCCCTGTCCAAGCTTGTTGAGACTGTATCGACGAACTTCAACGAGAGAGGAGAGGAGATCCGAAAACACTGGGGAGGAGGAATTATGTCTGCAAGATCGGAGGCAAAGAAGCTCAAGATTGAGAAGGCTCGTGCTAAGGATCTCGGAATCCGTGCATGATTGTGTTACAGTTGTTTTGTTGATAAATTGTTACATTTTATGTGGTTCTATGTATAACAATGTTGCGTCTTCGGGGATAGGACTCCATAAGAATGGCTCTCATTTCCAAATGACCATGTGATGGGCGCTTTTTATTAGAAGATACTGTAAAAGGGTGTCAAAGCGAACTCTCCTTGTTGACGCGCAATCGCTTTAATGAACCTGCACTGACGTTATCCGATTTGTGGGAAGGTGGGAAGCATCATGCTGCATAGGCTTGAGGCTGCTGTCAGAATTTTCGTCAGCTGTGCCTTATTATGTCAGGCTTTTCTCATGAAGCTGCTGTGTTAATCATGTGCCAGCCTGTATTTCGTGCAAGTATTTTCGGTAGGTTGAGCCAGATTGAGCGTCACAACTTCAGTGCTGGTCTACGCACTGTATTTTCACAATTCAACTTCATTGAAAATGCAGGGATCAGGAAAGCCTGGAACATAGATTTGTGACAGTGGGAATGGCGGCTGGAATTGTGGAAGGCAGCCTTGTGAATGTGTTAAAGCACCTTGGTGGGGACCCGTCCGCAGTGAGCGTTTCGTGCATCGAAATGAGCTGTAATGAGGACCATGATTTCAAATTCAGTCACAAGACGGCTTCGAAACTGGGGTGTAGAGGTGGTTAGAGGTGTGCATCGGTAAGTTAGATCGAACTAGGGAGGCCCACCCCCGATGGGCGGGGCCTTCTCCAAAAATGCAATGCTTTATGCTTTATAAGAACATTTTGGAAAATCATAATTCCTGTCCCCGTGACCTAGAATGTTCAAACTTGGTAGGAGTACAGGCGACAGAATGGGAACACTTATGGTGAGTGGCAGGACTAGGCTTCGCCCACAGGGGGCGGGTTTAAGTGAAAATTCGCAGCACCTGTTCCCGTGGACCTAGAGCGCTCACATTTGATGGGTGTGCACGCAGCAGGAAAGTAACACTTATGGTGGATCGCAAGAACGGACTCCATTCACATGGGGCGGGGTCTGTGCGAAAAGTTTAAACTTGGAATTAAAGCGCTCACATTCGATAGAAATACAGGCGGCAGGACGGGAGCACCTATTTTGGGCGGCAGGACTTACCTCCGCTCGCAGGAGGCGAGGCGTGGGAAAAAAATTGATAATTTAGTCGTGAAGCGAAATCTCGAAACCAAGGTTGAATAAGTGGGAAATAAATAGAGTTACTCAAACACACGGAACCTAAGGAGGTTTGTTCTTGGCGGACGGGGCGCGCACGAGTTGTATTGGGTGTTTGTCTCTAGCCGAGAATGAATAGCTCCTGTTCTCATCCACTGAAGCCTCCAAATTTGAAAAAGGTGCAGGCGGGTAGCCATTCTAACACGGGAAGAAGGGGAGCCCGACGTCAGCCGAGCGAGCCGTTCGGTACTAACATAAATAGGGCCTCAAGCGTGTACTTGTTAACATTTTTCTTTAGCTGAGCAGTGGTTTTTGCCGAGGAATGCTTTTTGTTGGATTTCACGATTTCTGAGAAGGTCCGCAGTGTGAAGAACTCTGTTCTAATGACGGCCCTGGACTTGAGGAGTGAAGGCTTCAGTCGCCCTCCTCTAGTTGTTGGTGGGAGTAAGGTGTCGCGCCGACAGCGACGCTGCTCCTCGCTACAGGTAGGCATCGGGCTTGGGAGCTGCGTCGCCCTGAGGGCCTGATCTAGAGCTTATGCGGGGCTCCCTCTCTCTTCTTGCCTCGCGGACTGTTGCTTTGGCTCTCGCAGCCCCTACGCTGGTCATACATCAAACTATCGCTTCGCGCGGGCGACATCCTACGACACGGTCCAACCTACACACTGTCCAACTATACCAATCAAACCAGATATAACATTCCACGACGTGTGTGCCGTCTATGATATCACGCCTTCAATACAATATTAGAACCTTCATGGATACGAATACAAAGATGAGGAAGTTTTTCGAGGCACTCAATGCGAAAGGGGAAGCAAAACAAGTGGAGGTAATTCATTTGGAGATACCATAAAGGGATGATATTTCTGCTGTATTTGTATCGTAGATTTGGTAGATTTAAATAAACTTAGTACATTACCTTTAATTTAGGTCATTGGTGATGAGTTCGTCACAGACCCTTGCACTAAGCATGAATGTAGCCCGTGAAATATGCAGGAGAAAGGGCGACGAAGGTGTACGCTACGCTAAGGCTTATGAGGCGAGCTGTTGTAGTATACGCTGAGTTCGAGAAATGTTTTTTCAGGAGCATCAAAACGTAAGGGAAGATCTCGTTTACGCAGGAAAACAAGCAGTCAAGATCTTCTGGATCTTATCGCCAAAAACAGAGATACAGACAATGATAGCACATTATAATTTTATTTCATGTATATCGGCATCACAACCTTTACAACCATTTTGCAGAAAATATGGCGGACGAAATCAGAGCAACGATTCGTCAGTCAGATGATAATCTGTCACTAAAGAGAATGTTCCAGAAGAGTTTCGCATCCTTCAAAGTGACCCTCTTTTTCGCAGATTCAATGGGTTGCCTTTCATATCTACTGCTTAGCGAAGACCGTCCTGGGATCGATTACATATTCAGGAGCCTCTCTGAAGCAGAACAAATTGACATACTTTCAGATGGCTTGCGAAAGAAGCCTTCACGCAATTGTAGCTGAAGGGGTGGACTCCGTTCATCACAAATTTTGAGCCGCCATGCGCAACTGTATTGCGTATGTACATAGAGTATGCAGCCATGGAGTAGAAGTCACGTTACTGAACTGCAACAGAGAAGAAGAAATGCGAAGTGTATAAAAAATGTACTAGCATTTGAAGCTGCATTTGAAGGGTTGAACACCTCAACACATAGTGCTCATTTTGAAAAAGCACTCCACAAAGGCTGCTAGGCTCGTGTTTCCCAGCGCTGCCCGCGAGGGGTGTGCGTTCCACCTTGCTCAAGCATGGAACCGCAAGAGGGACTCCTTGTAACTGCGAAAATACTTCCAAGAACACACCAAAGATACCCGCACTGTGAAAAGGTAGCAAACAATTGAAGGTAAGAAAAATCCAATTTTTTTGAATGTGTACAAACATCTCTTATTTCTTGCAGGGGAGTCTTCCTCTCAACTCAGTTCCTGCCTGAAGTGGAAGCACTTCAACCCCCCCCCCGGCTCCCCTTTCCTACCCGAAAATCACCTCGAGTACGAAAAATGTCAGGAATTCTTGGACTACTTGGAAACAAATTGGGTGGATGGACCTTCTAAAGTTTTTAGGTGCAGGTGGAGGCCAGTAGTTGAGGACTACTAATTTGGCTCTAGCTTTCCACAGGTACATGATTGCTTAGCTGACCAAGATTCCAACGAATAATAATTTTTCAGGCGGCACGAGTATTGGCAGGCGTCGATAATTCACCGTGGAGTAGTTTGATCGACGTTTTGAGGGGTCTCAATTATGAGGCAGGGGCTGCCCTTACACGCCTAAACGGAGCAAGAGTCTTAAGAAGAATGCCTTTTTCTGAGTGGATAAGTTTAAAATGTTATCGAGGCCCTCTTTTCAGAATCCAAAAATTGCCTTGCAAAGGAATCACCAACAACGGAAAAGAAATTTATACGATGAAATGGAAAGGTGTGATACTCTTAGAAGATTCTACTCTTATTTCGCCAGGATGTAACTTAGCTACATTTTCTCAGATTCGAGAAGTTTATCAGAGAGAAGCAAATCACATCCAAAATTGAGGAGTTTTGCATGAAGATGTCCAAATTCGTTACAAACGAAAACACCTGAGTTGTTTACCTATTAATTTCAAAATTCTTCCTATAAACAGAATGAGGCTTCACTACGCGTGATTGGATTTTTCTCTTGAAATTTCTCTCATCTTGCATAGTCGTAAAACTCTTTAAACCAACGTGGAAATTTCACGTTTAAAAACTGATATTATTAAAGTTTCACCTTCTCATCATTTTCATCGTTCGCCATCACTCATAACTAAGAGGCCTAAGTACCAAGGTACCAATAGGTAAAATAATAGGTACCTCAATTTATCTCAGTACCTCCCGTACCCGAGTTCCCACACCCCTAAAGATACGACATGTATATATATATANAAAAGAAAACTTTCAAATACTTCGACAATTGAATAGTACGACAACAACCAATAAACCTACGTGTCGGGAGGCTCGAACCTAGGGCGTTATAGTCTACGAAGGGTTGCGTGACTTGAGACTGCTCGATGCCTTCGGGCTTCGGTGCCCGAGTCGATCACTGGTTGGTCGTATTGCATCATATGTTCGTCCTCGAGCAACTTCTAATGGAAGGACGACACATCAGTGGCAGCTCGATTCGACGATGACACGCAGACACACTCAGACAGACTGACGTTTTAGGCCAGAGCACGCGCCCACCCTAGCCGACACGCAGACGTCGACAAGCAATTCGAAACGGGACCCCCGCGCGCCCTACCAGGCTTGCCCCCTTGAGAAGCCGGGTGGTAGCCACGACAATGGGAGCGGCGAAGATGAACGGAAGGGGAAACCAGCGGCAGCGGAGCCAAGCTCGCCGTCCTTACCTGTTGCGATTGCGCAGCTAGAAGAAGGCACACGTACGCTGGCTACGTGGAGAACTGCTACGCGCATTCGAGCGAGTATAGTGTTGCTGCAGTGTCGTGCGTGAGCGGTAGCACTCGTCACACGGTGGGAAATACGCATCCCCAGAACAGCGGTATCTGGTGATGGTGATTGCTCATGTGCGCGGGAATATCTACTGCAAGGGGTCGGGCTACGTTTCGAGGAACAATCACAGAAATGATGACATTCTCTGTGCGGAAAAACGTTGCAACAAGACTCGACTCGCGTGCCACTACACTGATGACACTTGGCATTGTATCTACAATAACTGCAGTAGATGGTATAATAATGGAAGCCGTGATGGGCGTGATGCTTGTGCGCGCGACTTGAAGCGCTACTCTAGGCCCCTTGCTCCCTCGCCCTTACGTTCGCTTCTCGCTTTGACGAGTGGCCCTCAAAAACGCG